TCTCTGACTTTAGCACAGTTAAGGTAACATGAGAATGGCAAGAAGGATTAGCCGTGAAAAGGTCTGGGGAACATTTCAGAATGAGGCACCAGAGAATCTGAGGGCTCTGTGACACAAACAAGCTCAAGGAAGGAAATAAGGCCTTACCAAGACAGCTGTAGTAATGTACACACCAGGTGACAGTGAGTTTCTGTTTTGCTCACTGGAGTTTCTACTCTGTATCAAAGAGATACAGAGTAGGTCATTATTTGCACATAATAGGTCTTTATTATGTATGGAGAGGATAAGTAAATGAACTAAAGAATCAGATTCAAGATGAACTTAGAGATTTAGGCAGAAACTACCATAATAATATTTTAAGGCAATTTGCGTTAGACTGAATAAGGGCTCTCCAAACATGCCCATGTCCTAATCCCCAGACCCTACAAATGTTACCTAACATGGTTTGGTTAGATCAGGCATTTTTGCAGGTTTGATTAATTGGGCCCATATATAATCCCAAGAGTACTTCTGAATAGAGAGGAGGTTCAGAGTCAGACAAGGAGATGGAACAATGGACGCCCAGGTCGAAGGGATGCAAGACCTCCAACCAAGGCATACAGGCAGCCACCAGGAGCTTCAAAAGACAAGGAGACACAGCTCCCCTAGATCCTTCAGAAGAAATGCAGCCAAGCCAGCCCATGTTAGACTCCAAACCTCCAGAACTAACTCTAAGAAAACAAATTTGTGTTCTTTACATCACCATGTTAAAGCAATGATAGGAAACTAAGGCAGAATTATCCTGGATACTCACTAGAGAGTGATGCCTTTTTAAAAACTAGATATTCATCATTAACTTGAAGTGAATTTTAAATTTTGTTACAATCTTCATCTGGCTCCTCCTTCCTTTATCTTTTGTGCTCTTATGAAGAGGAAGGAGGAGTTAGAGGGAATGAGAAAACAAATGGATCTAGGTAAGGAGAGAAGTAACTAGGGGAAAATGTTATAGAAGTCAAAGAGGGAAAAAGTAAGTCCATCGGGCAAAGGGAAAGGAAAAGGAAGAGAAGGAACATGAAAGGAACAATGGGGGATGGGAAAGGAAAGGGGGACATGTTACCTATTGCTGCACAACAGACTAACCCCAAATTTAAAAGCCTAAACCAACAAACATTTATATCACACAGTGTGTGAGCGAGCAGTCCATTTAGGTGGTTCCATCTCAACCTCTTTCATAAAGTTGAAATCATCCAAAGGCTTAAGTGAAGCTGTAGAGCCTACATCCAAAATGGCACACTCATGTGACTATTGGCTGAAGACCCCAGTTCTTCACTGCAGTGGGCTCTCCATTGGACTGCTTGAGGGTTCCTTAACATGACAGAGCAATCCCAGAGAGAGAACTTGGAGGAAACCACAATACCATTTTTATGACCTTGTCTCAAGTCACTCAGTCATTGCCACTTTTTTTTTTTGTCAGAAGTGAGTCACTAAGTCCTGTCTTCACTCATAGGGAGAAGAATTAGGCTGTACCATTTGAAGAAAATATCCAAAAAACCACTACAGAAGAAAAGGAAGTAGGAAGGAGTGAAGAGAAATTTCAGTAAAATACCAGTTTCCACCTGTGGCATGCATATGTGTGTGGAGGAGTTGGGTAGCAGGACAGACGTAGAGCTCCCAGGTTTTGCCATTTTGACGTCTGTCGGACATATCAACATTGTCTCAATTGTTCCCATAACCTGCTGGTTCTAACTCAAGCTTGTCTCTGTGTTCAGATAATCTATCCAAACTCCTTAAGCTTTGAGGACATGCCTTAAATGATTGCTGAATTCCCCTAGAAAGAATTCTCCACTTTGCCACTCTTTATTAGGAGGTGAAAAAGTTGTCTAAGATTGAGAGTCACTACTCCCAGTGAGCTTTGGAAACACTTGTGGGTAGAAAGTTGCATTAAGCACAAGACTCAGAGATACGGGTCAAGAGCTGTGCTAAATCCATCAGAACATTATGCACACGTGAAGCCAACCTGGAAAGGTGTGAACTAAAATCCTCCTCCATGTACCAGCTTAAATTAGGTGGTACCAATTAATGAATTACTGAGAATAGTGAAGGAGACAGAATAACCCAATAAAGAGATACCTTAAATCATGTCTTCCCTTTCGTCCTCTCACTTCTTGTCAAATATTTCATTAGTCCTCTAGTTTTTCTTGATTTTCCCCTCTTCCCTTCCCTGCCTCTTTTCTGTTCACTAGAAGACAGTAGAAATTACTTCACTCTCACAGAATGACTTTAGATTCTTTCAAATTCATCACATAGCATTTATTATTTAGTTAAGTAGTTTTCAGCAAAACATAGTACCCATACACTAAAATATGTATGTGCAAGCCTCAATGTCCATGCATTGGTACTTCCAAATCAAGATTTGGGAATGAAAAACTCAACTTTTGTTCCTGCCTGTTTGTATTAAATACTTAGAAGAGCCAACACAAATACTTTAACATACTGTTTTAAAAGTTAACTTCAAATACTAAGGTAGATACTAATTTCTTTTTAATATGCCTTTAAAAACAGAAACACCAGTTTTTTGCTATTACAAGTAACATTTGTGAAACCACAAAAGAATGAGGAAGTTTATTTCAGTGATAAAAATCATTTTGTTTTCACATTTCTTCATCGATGAATAAACATTTTCATATGCCATTTTTAAAAAAGATAAATGGATCTCTTAATATTCCTCACATTCCCAATCAGTCTGTATCATGAGTATGTTCTATGTACTAGTGAGCTTTTTTTGTATACTCAGTTTAGGATTTTAATGACAATGCAAACAAGTGCATACAGTGTATGGAAAATGGTCAATGCACTGAAGGAGGGCTGGGTAAACTTTTTCTGTAAAAGTCCAAATAACAAATTGTTTAGGCTTTGTGGACTATAGAGTCTCTGTCATAAATAATCAATTTTTCCCTTTTCAGACAAAAGCAGACATAGAAATATGTGAATGAACAGGTATCACTGTGTTCCAATAAAACTTACTATTTATAAAAAACTGTCAGGCCAGATTTGTCAAGTTAACCTTCTTCTGGATTTATACATACCAGGAACCAAAGCAATTTTATTTCTCTTGCATTCACTTAGATAGAATTCTCTATAAATGCTACTCCTAAAGACAGTTGAGTTTGTCTCTAAAGTCTTTATTTTTATAAAACTGTATAATCACTTTTATAGTCACTTCTTTAACTATTAACAATCAGATTTGTATTATTAACACCCTTGTTTAGTTCAGCATGAGCAATGCAAGAAATTAATTTTAAAAAATTCAGAAAGTGGTCCTATTCATTCTATTTATAACACAATAGATGAAACAAAATTCTGTCTGGTTAAAATAGATTGAAATCTTGTTAGACAAATCAGCTAGAAGTCACTTTCCTAAGGACAACTACAGTACTTTATTCCCCCTGTCTGCAGTGATGGTGTCTGTTTAGGTGGAGGGATAATGCAGGCTTTCTATTTGGGAAACAGAATAGCCTTCTCTGCTTCCTTTTCTTTTGTGTATACTTTTCTGAACCAAAATATACAACAATTGACTCTAAAAACATTTTAAATGATCATATAACACGGATGCAATATCTGTGACCCTTTCTAGAATCTGTTTCATTTTTTAAAATGCATGATTTAAAAACCTAAAACATTCCATGCGTCCAAAGTTTTTACCTTTGCTCCATCTACATTAATTACCATTACGCTTGGTCCCCTCCAGGCATGCCTTTCACTTTGTTGCTGCTCCCTTTGTGATCATTTAAAGAAGGGGATGGAATTGGAGAACATCATTCTGAGTGAGGTTAGCCTGGCTCAAAAGACCAAAAATCATATGTTCTCCCTCATATGTGGACATTAGATCAAGGGCAAACACAACAAGGGGATTGGACTATGAGCACATGATAAAAGCGAGAGCACACAAGGGAGGGGTGAGGATAGGTAAGACACCTGAAAAACTAGCTAGCATTTGTTGCCCTTAATGCAGAGAAACTAAAGCAGATACCTTAAAGCAACTGAGGCCAATAGGAGAAGGGGACCAGGAACTAGAGAAAAGGTTAGATCAAAAAGAATTAACCTAGAAGGTAACACCCACGCACAGGAAATCAATGTGAGTCAACGCCCTGTATAGCTATCCTTATCTCAACCAGCAAAACCCCTTGTTCCTTCCTATTATTGCTTATACTCTCTCTACAACAAAATTAGAGATAAGGACAAAATAGTTTCTGCTGGGTATTGAGGGGGGGGGGAGCGGGAGGGGGCGGAGTGGGTGGTAAGGGAGGGGGTGGGGGCAAGGGGGAGAAATGAACCAAGCCTTGTATGCACATATGAATAATAAAAGAAAAATGAAAAAAAATAAATAAAAAAATAAATAAATAAACATTGCAAAAGACTAAAAAAAAAAAAAAGAAGAAGAACATTCTATACGCCCTCCATGAGCATTGCTTTCAGAGCAAAAGCTTTCAAAGCTGCCACTAATGACAATGTGCCTGAATGGCTTCATGAGCCTCTGTCATCGATGTGATGCTGGACTCTCATAAAGTTCTCTCACCGCCTACTTGTCTGTGGACTGCCTGCTTATCTGTGGAATCTATGTGAATTCCACACATGGAGACAGAGGTCTTAGGTAAAATAAAGACCTACTAGCCCATTTTGAATAACTTCCACATCTCTTTGGTCTTAGCTAGAGTTTGTGTCCACTGTATTAGTGAATGGAAGCTTGGTAGATAACTTCAGTTCAAGCAGATCTCCCAGCATTACTTACTCTCCATGATAAATAGAGATGATGAGGTCATAATCCCTCTGCACTCCTCAGGTTTTCACAGCATGCTGTTAATGGCTTTTTTTCAGATGTCCTAAAGTTAAGGGTAGGCTCTAGGACACATGCCCTCAACTGCCTTACTCCTTCCTGCCAGTGATGTTAATTCCAATAAAGAAAACTGTTCAAGATAAGAAAGAGTAGTGGTACTCAACAGCTCTCCTTGTGTGTCTTGCAGGAGTCCTTTGGAACCTCTCATCGTGTGATGCTCTCAAAATGCCAATCATCCAGGATGCCCTGGCAGTGATTGACCAACGCAGTGATTATCCCACACTCTGGCTGGGAAAATTCACCTCTTCAGGATGATCGGAAAATACAGCTGCATTCATCACAGGTGCTGCGCAATGCCACTGGGTGCCTAAGGTGAGTCCATGGCCTGAGGGCCTCCTCCTGCTGCCTTCCCCTGGTGTCCTCCCTGGTTTCCTCCACTTCCTTCCAGTAACTTTAATTACTCCTATCCTAAAAATCACACTGCTCTGCAAAGAAAAATGTTGACCTGGAATATAAGAAGGAAAAGTTATAGGTGTCTTACACTACTCTATACCTACACCTGTGTTTGACTTACTTAACATTATTAGGTCCAGTGCAAGAAATAAACATTTTATTACAATCAAAAATAAGCCACTTTCTTTAATTGAAAACACTGGTTCATAGTAATTTGACATGATACCACCTATGTAAAGTAGGCAGGCAGGCTAGTCATTTGAGCAGTGTATAACATACATGCAGGAATGTACTCAATTACCATCAGTAGCTTTTTTAATTGTCTTTTTCCTTAATTCTCCATGTGACTGTGAGAATCAATACTTTCTTAGGAATAGCTCCTTAATAGGGCCTATTGTAGTGTTAAATGTTTTCTAAATAGTAAAAGTTGAAAATGTGTGGTAATTCCTTCCCACTGCTTTATGCAAAAATCATCTCCCAGAAATCTGGTGAGATTTCTTAAAATCATCTTTATGACTTGTTTAATTTTTACTCTGATGAAAGAAAGTAATAATTAAGATACAGTTCTTCTAAACTCTAGGACTTGTGTTACCATGGGCATTTTGTTTTGTACCAAAATTGGAACTCTCTCCTGGATAACATTAATAATGGGTAAGGGGCAAAAGCAGGTGATTAAAAATGCCTAGCCACATAATCTGTATTTCAAAACTAAAATGTCCTGGATAAAAATGCCCACAAAATAATGAACTTTTGACATGATTTCTCTAGATAGTCTCTATCACAAGCCAAATTTACTGTTCTCCAAAATATCCCATTGTGGCATCCATTTTATGGTTTCTTAAATTCCGTTATCCTTCAGAAACTTCACCAGAAGAAATGTAACTCTCAAAGCTAAAGCTATAGATACTTCTGACCTTCTATGCCTGGTTTTTCTCTCTGTGTTACTTGCCTCTTAACAAAGGCAACAAGTAGTTCCTCTCTTCCTAGCATCCTCTACTTGCAAAGTCTGTCATTGTTCCTAACAAAGTCTGTGGATCCATGTGTCTTGGAATCAGTTGTAGGGCATAGTTAGTAAAGACCTGCTTAGCTCTGTCATATGAAATTCACTCTGAATAGCAGAGTAACATAATTATGTCTTCCTGATGTCTGACTTAAGGTTGTAGGACCTGGCTTGATGAGCATGTATTCTGCATCATTGATGATAAGTTGATAAAGAAGCTAAACCAGTGTATGTCGTGGGTCCCTTTGTAAGTCCACTGGCTGTGTTTAAGGTCTGGAATGTGACACAGAGAGGCTCAACCTTGCTTCTTCTTCTACTGACTAGAAGTGACCACATCTAGGAAGAAAAACAAAAAGACATCTAGTTTAGACAGAATTTGTTATAGCCAAATCCAAATCTGGTTTCCTTAGCTAAGATACAATCAAGATGAGTGAGTTCTACATTTCTGAGTTTATGATGTGAGCAACAAAGTGAAACCCAACAATATGTCATCAAACTTGAACTTTTTAATCAATTAAACTTCTCCCCTCCTACAGAAAGAAAGACGATTTCTCTTCTCCTCTCTCATTTGAATGGGTTTATGAATCATTCTACATGGATAAGCAAGACGGGCTGAAAGAGGAAGAACACAGCCATGGAAAGGGCTAAAATGAATTTATCAAACTCAGTAGGGGTAAAGTTTCAAAGATATTAAATTATTCTCCATGTTACTGAAAAACAGTGTGGGCAGCATCCCCAGTCACACATGTCTATCATGATTGAAGATTTGAGGTTTTAATATTTGAGTTTATTTGCATTTTTGGAATTTCCAGCAACTCTTAGATCATTATCCACATTAAAGAAATTACTTCCTATGCTGCTCTGCTTTTCAACACTTTAATCCATGAGCATTCACTGAGTGACAACTGTCTACTCCACAATTCCTGCTCTTCAGATGCTCATAAGGTAGTAGAAATAGTGGCACCTACATAATTAGCCCGGTCATAATACTCAAGGGTCACCTTGATACCATGATTAGGTAGTACATTGGGAAAACTGGAAAGTGAGTCACTAACTCAGCCAGTGTGGTCAAGAAAGGCTTCAAGGATCAAATGGACTAAGCATGTAAAGGATGTCACCAGTAGATGCCATGGGAAAATTCATGGTCAGGAGTGAGCAGGCACAGTGGCACAGTCCTTGGAGAATTCCAGGAAATTTTGAGGAACATTATCCACAAAGACTAGATTCATAAATAAAATTTAAGTGATTGATATTCATAAAATCCCTATCTTCCAAGGACCTGAAAAACAAGCAGCTCTCTAAATCCACAAGTCCTCTTCCATGGATTCAACCAACTGTAGGTAGAAAATATTTGAAAAGAAGTTTCATCTGTACTGAATATGTACAAACTCTTTTTCTTGTCATTATTCCCGCAGAAACTAACTCTATAACATTGACATTGAACCTGGCATGTAATAATGATTTAAAGTATACAAGAGGATACATGTAGGTTATACACAAATGCTGTGTCACTTTATATAAGGGACTTGAGAATCTGCAGGTTTTGGAACCTGCAGAGGGTTCTGCAACCGATACTTCATGAACACCAGTGAATACTACACCTTGTTTATTCTCTTATTTGTTATAAGGTCAATAACTCATGTCTGGTAAGTCATGAAGCCACATCGTGACTTTTGAACTACGTCCTGATTCTTGATGTAGACCATTTTCATTCTTCACACAGACAGGAATATAAAGTTACATGCTACCAGATTGTTATCAGGTATGTGCCCAAAACAATGTGCAACAACCAAACAGCCAGTCAATAAATACTGTCTTCCATGTTGATTCCTCCAATTTGCTTCTTGACATTTATTGACTGGCATCTGCTTGGCCAACATCCTTTTTGCCTTTAAATACCAGTTGTTTTCTTCCCCTCAACCATTCCTCCCTTTCCATTCTCTCCTAAGGCCTTGCTATGATTTGAATGTAATTTGTTCCCCAAGCACTCATGTACTTGAAGCTTTGTCCTCACCATGGTGATACAGAAGAGATAATGGGACTTTTAAGAGGTGGGACTTAGTGGCAGGTGATTGATTCATAGGGCATCACCTCCAAAAGGGATTAATGTACTAATAAAGGGGCCCTTATTGCTTCTCTTAAGATGGATTGTTCTACAAAGAGTAATCCTGGCCCCTGAATCTTTCTAGCTTCTTCTCTTGCCTTGTAATCTCTGCTATAGACTCTCATCATTGTGAAGATATCTACCAAGAGGTTCTTACCAGAGTCCAAACAGATGGGGCTGCCCAATCTTGGACTTTCAGCATCTAAAACTATGACCTAAATCATCCTCTTTTCTTTATCAAGTACCAAGAGTCAAGATATTGTGTATATCAACAGAAAACAGACTAAGATGTGAATTAGGTATAGAGCAGACTAAGATGTGAATTGGGTATACACCTGGACAAAGTCACTTGCCCCCACCTTAAATCTTCACTTTGAGCTATGGGTTCCTTTTCTTTAAAGATAAAAATGTATTTTAAGAAATATCCTAGACAATAATATTGATGGGGTTTTTTCCAGTATTCAGAGTCTTCTATACTTTGATTGATGACTTTAAGCTGAATTGATATTTGGGGCTTGTTTCTGTAACTATAACTTTAGTTATATTTAAAAAAAACAAAATAAAACTCTTCCTATGATGGTATTTTCTAAACTATGTAGCTTATCAGTCCAGTAGAAGGAACATAGAGTAGGTAAGAGTAAACTTGTCAGGTCATTATTGGAAATCTTTACTCTTGATTTTAGTTCTTAGCAGAATTCTGACTATTTATGTCATGTCAGGTTGAGAAGCCGAGGTTTAGAATTTAAGCAATTACTATTCTAAAAGAGTTTTTATTTTTCAGAAAGGAAAACAATTTTATGAATGCAAATTGTGCTGCTCTTAAATGTCCTAAAGCTCAGCAGAGGAATTTGAGTAAAATAGCCTCTGCCTTAGGAAGCCAAAATCTGAACAACCAAAACCATCCTACCTTTAGACAACTTCGCCATCTTCATAGACTCTCTCTGTCTTCTTGAGCTTTCCTTCAGCAGTGGATGTTGTACCACATCAGTGGTGGTCCCCTTTCCACCCTAACACAAGAAAGCCATGCTCAAAGGGAGCATTCTAGAGAGAAAAGCCACTTGCCTCTGCCTTCATAGAAAGAGTCACAGCACATTGACACAGCAAAAAAAGTTAAGCACATATGAAATATAAAATGAAATATTAATGCCCTTAGTCCTTTTCCATTTAAAATTCATTTTTGGGTAGGAAATAGAATTTTTCTCAATCAGATCTAGTCTATTTGTCCCTGAACTATCTATCTGTCACTGAGGAAAGAGGATAGAAATGGGGGAAAAAAAATCTCTGAAATTTTGTTGAGGGAGTGAATTGATAAGAATGATGATGGCTAGATTGTGGAATGGGATGGCACACATTAGAGCAGTGAGCGGTCAGGACCTGGACAGAAAAGGACTTCATCTCTATGCTCTGCCTCCTAGTATCCTGCACCTTTCCCCACCCCAAGCACACCCATTATTTCTCATTTCTTCCTCTTTTCTAGCTGAATCCTTTGCTCCAATGCTGTCATATTCAAGCTTTATTTTTAAAGAAGTCATTTTAAAATATGACAAATATGCCCAAATAAATGTGGAGAATTATTAGAAATTTGGATATAAATATGAGTGAGTTGTTATATTAGTCTTCTTCTTCACTTTATGATTTAGGATTTGTCCAGGGAAATGACTTCATGTAGCCTAAGTCTGGCTGTTGAGACCTTAAAAATAGATCCAGTTTTGTACTTGTAATTGTTCTGCTGCATACTGTCATCAAATGTGTCTCTTAACCTTTGGCCAGTATAGTCATCACCTTCTGCTGAAAACATGTATTACCAGATCACAG